TAAATAGAGAGAAATGCCCAATTCTATCTGAGGTGTTCCACTGGGAGAAGAAACAAAATTCCAGCCAATTGAAACAAAACACCTGTTCCCATACCGGGAGTCGAACCCGGGCCGCCTGGGTGAAAACCAGGTATCCTAACCGCTAGACCATATGGGAGTCAGCACCAACCTGCCTCTCATCTTGTACACATCACTTCTATCAATTTGTCATGTGCACCCCCACACAATAGCGGCGCACTACCGGGCTCGCTCCGCCCATGGAGATTCGCTCTGACTGCAGCTCCACCAGCCCCAGTTTCAAGACCCCGTTCTCAAGACTCGGCCTGGGTGGGAACATCCGGGCCTCCTCAGGGGCGGGAACTCCTGGTCCCGGAAATCTAAAGGACTAGAGCCAGGGCAGATTGCCGGGCGTTTCGGTCTGCACAGTCCGCGTTTGCAGGCACACCTGAAGCCCAACTCCAAACAATAAACGGTCATTTACTGACATCTAAAATAAAGGACCCCTTCTAGGACCGGAGTTCCACGTTAATATCTTTTCCGTGAAAAGCAAAAACGGAATGTGGTATCTTATTTTAGCTTCTTCGTTGGTAGCAGCCGTATTTTGTTCTGAAATTTCTCTACTTTACTTTTGAGTGCTTCCAGTAGGCTTTTCACGGACAGCTTAAGCTCAAAGTGGCAAAAACAAAAACAAAACAAACATTCTCCCCAATCCAATCACAAATCTGACCACTGCGATTAAAGTATATGTGAAAGGCTCAAGGATTATTAACTGACAGTAAGATCAATGAAACAATGGAAGTCCAAAATATGGTAGGGGTACACACTGGGATTAAGTGAAAGAATAAAAGGTGGCATCTCAAAGCGGCAGGGGTGGATTAATCAACATAATGTATATATGTATGTAGACCTATGGTAGAAAAGACAAATTGGTTGCAAGATTCACTCCGTACCTCAACTGAAAGTTTTTGAGGAAAACACTGGAGAATTCCTTTATCACATCAGTTACAACCCCAAGTCCAGAAATCATAAAACAGCTGATTGATCAATTCAACTCTATTAAGAAAACTGACTAAAAAGAAAAATACAAGAGCTGGGTGATGGTTACTACAGCTTTCACCTTAGTTATTCATTAAGCTAGTCAATTATTTTGTGCAGTTCAATTTGTTTTATTTTATAATAAAGGCTTTAAAAAAAACACCATATGGAAAGTTAAAAGACAAATTGGGAAAAATATTTATATTTCGTATATGAACAAAGGATTAATTTTCCCCAAACATAAAGATTACCTCCTGGAAACTGCTAAAAATACCAACAACCCAGCAGGAAAATGAAGCATGGACACAGTTCCCATCACAGGAAATACAACTGGACCTTCAAAAATTAAAAGAGGGTTGGTCTCACTCCTGTAAAGATAGAGGAGGTTTTTAAAAATCTGAAAGGTCTTTTCCTGGAGTTCCCTTCCTAGAGTTCCCTTGAAAATCTAAGTCAAATCTTTTTTACTTTCTGGCTTAAAACCTGTCAAGGACTGCCTATCTACTCAGGTGTTTGTGTTTTTTATTGACATGGAATCATGCTGTCCTGATCTGTTATCCATGTTTGGTTTTTTTTCCTACATCAAAATCAGTTTTGAGAATCTAGTGAAACTGAAGCACCTATTTTTTGCCCTTCCCTGCCACTAGCTGGATAGTATTGCATCTTGTAAAGAAACTGCAGCTGATATATCCACGAGGATGTTCTGGTTATTTACTAATATGAACTAACCTAACAACTTTGCCCTCTGCCCCACATGACTGTGTCCTAGGAGAATACAAGCCTAGAAGTGGTTTCAAAGTAGTGACTTTCAACATTACTCAGTTTGCCTCTTCAAACTTTCACATCTAACAAAGCTGAAAACATGCAAACCAGAGAAATTTTAAGTAGTAGGGATTAGCTGGGAATAGGGGCAGGGGCAATCTGTGAAGGAGGAAGGCCTGAGATAAGGTAGCCAGCCACATGAAGGAACAGCTGCGCTCACTCCTCTGTCTCTGGTCACAGGTCAAGCAGACTCAGGCTCCAGCTGCTTGAGTTTTTCCTGGAGCCCCCGGAGCTGGCTTCGACCCCAGTCAATGCGGATCTGAAGGGTGGCCATGTCTGCAGCCAGCTGCAGGCCTAAATGAAGAGATACGATTGTCACCATGGTATCTGTGATGTGACACATGACTCAGGGGACATCCCCAGGGACTGGAAAGGCTCCAGAACTCTGGCCTCCATGCTATTCCTAAAATATTCCAGGAAGAGCCTTGCATTGGCTACTTCAGAACTTCACTAGACACACAAAATTCTACCTCTTCAACAGACCTCCTTGACCCCCTTACTATCACCCATCAAGAACTAAAAATTCACAGATCATAACACTGTTGCATGCCCTCATTTCCTTCCTTCTTTCCTTCATTATCACAGTACTTCACTGTTCTCTCCCTCTATCTGTATTCTCTGCCTCCAAGAGTGCTCCACATCCTGGATCCACACCGAGGTGGCTTTTGCCTGATGCCTCTATTGAGTCATCTGGGTCCTCCATGCTGCCTAGTCCACTGGCCAGTTCAGTCTTCAGCCTACCTGCCTAACAGCAGAGCTGGCCATGCATCTGATCACTTCTCTCCAGGAAGCACTTTCTCTTCTTTTCTTCTGGGGTCGCTTACCCTCTGGGTGATGCTCCTGCCTCACCACTGCTTCTCAGTCTCCTCATCTGGTTTCTCCCCTATCTCTTCCCATCTCCTCTCCACACTCCAAGGCCCTCTGCTGATCTCAGCTTTAATGCCGTGTGTCAGCAGCTTGAGAATTTAAACACCAGTGTCATGCAGTGGGCTCCCAAATCGCTCTTTCAAGGCCAGGTCTTTTCCAGACTCCAGATTGCATGTGCCCAGACACCTGATCAAAGTCTCCACCACCCAGCACTGGGAACATACTCACACCCAACTCCTGACTTTACCCTTGGCTGCAACTCTGCAGCCCTCTCACAACAGGTGAGGGCAGCTTCAGTCCCCAGGTGGTCTGGCTCAGGTGGAATCCCCAGGTGGAATCTAGGGGCTCATTCTTCACTCCTTCCCTTACTCTCAAATTGATCTATCAGCAAATCCTATGGCTTTTATTCTCAAAACATACAGGTTCCCACCACTTACCCCTCCTTCACAGCCTTCACCTGTATCTCAAGCATGGCTGCTCCCTGGCACCTGCTTCCTCCCTTTGCTCTTGTCTTTTCCCACCCAGTACCCACAACTTTCCTACCACTCTGTGGGTCCAGTGCACCTCCCTCTGTTCAGAGCCAAAGTCCTCATCAGGGTCTACACAGCCTCAAATCACCTGGCCCAGCCCCGCTCTGACCTCAGCTCCTGGCATTACCCCCTGCATTAATTCCACTCCAACCTATTGGCTTCCTCTCTGCCATCTCAAACACCATCTCATCTCAAAGCATTTGCCCTGGCTAATACTTCTGCCAACAACACCAATCCCCCAGATCACCCACAAAGTTCTCTCCATCTCTTCAGAGAAGCCTTTCCAGACCACCCTTCATAAAATAACTCCTCTAGCCCACTCCTGTCCAACTCCATCCACTGTACCCTCTTATTTTTTTCATAACAATCCCCTACCTGGTATTATGTATAGGGCTTACTTATTTACTTGCATGTTCTCTTTCTCCCCTCAACAGAATAAACATTCCATGAGGGGTGTTTATCCCTTTTGTTTCCTGCTGTATCCCCAGCACCTAGCATGGGCCTGGAACACTACCAACAGCCAGTAAATGCTTTTTGAAAAAACAGCAGGTGTACAACAAAAGTCTGCTGAAGAAAACCTGGAAAATCCTTTGCAGATTAAGCCCAGCTGTGGCATGGCATTAGTGCTCAAGTCCTTCCAGGAAATAGAGGATCCACTCACCCTCCCGGAAGCTGGCTTGGGCCTGCCGTAGACTGTGAGGAACCAGGATTCCAAACCAGTTCAGAGGGTCCCGGAGGGCTGGGAAGGACTCTGGCTCTGGGGTTCTGGTGAGACCCTTGCGTCTTCGCAAAGCTGGGTAAAGAAAGACTGGAGGTTGGGGGTTTCATTAAGTATTCCTTGTCTTCTCAGTGACAATGTTGAACTTGATCTGAGCTCATGATCCTGACAAACACCGATGGTTGGAAAATTCCCCCAACCATTTATGTTCCAGAAAGCAGCTTACCATAAAGAACAACCCTTCCCTTTGTGACTCAGATGAGAGGCCCTGACCACTCTTTCTCAAGACTCTCATAACATCAGCAAATGACTCCCTTGTTAACCTGTGACAGAACCACACACTGACTTTTCTCATTTGCCTGAACATGCTGAAAGGCCAGACAGAACCTCCAACTCCCCATTCCTCTCATAAGTGACTGCGATTAGAATTTTGTCCCTCTAAGGTAGTTAGACATATAAACATTTTCTGTCCAACTGACTGAAACCTACCCTAATTGCAAAACTATCACAACTGTAAAGGACCTTATCTAAAACTTGTCTACCCTGCTGAGACATTCTGATCCTCCAATCTGGGCCGCTCTCTCCATCGCAACACCCTTAATAAAATCATCTCCTCAATTATCCTGTACATTTTGTTTTTGACATCGGGAGGGCGCCCAGGCGGGAAGAAGCGAGGGAGGGAGGGGGACCCACCTGCCTCTCGGGGCCCCACCTCCTCTGGAGTCTGGGCGCTGGCTCTCACCAGCCACAACCTCTGGAGTCCGTCCTGGGCCTCGCTGAAGAACGAGAAGGTAGGATCGACATTTGGAGGCCCCAGCCTGGACCCCTGCCCGCCTACCCGCTCCAGCATGCACAGCTCCTCACCTGGTGTAGACGCAGACCTGGGGCTCCATGAGGGAGGCATACTGCAGGGGACCTACCGATTTGGCACCCATAGAGTAGCGAGCTTTGGAAAGCGAGAGCCAGCCCTGAGATGAGAGGAGAGCGGTGAAACTCAGTTTACCTCCGCATGCCCTCTCGCCCTCCCTCCCCAGCCTCCCACCTCCTCCACCCGAGCGTTCAGTGCCGCCCGCTTCGCCTCCAGTTCTTCCAGGTCCTGGAACAGCTGCAGAAGCAGCGAGTCCAACTCCGCTCGTAGGTCCGGGGCAGCCATGGGCCCAAGGAACTGAGGTCTGGAACCAGCCTCTTCCCAGGTCGTCCAATCGCCGTTCGCCATGCCGGCATGACAGCCAATAGGCCCCCGAGACCCACCTTCAAGGGGCGTTCCCAGACGTGGGCCTAGTCTCCGGATGTTTAGAGGTAGCCGGGTAGTCGCTTCTAAAGGCAAGCGCGCCTAGAGCAGCGGCACAGAACTGATTAGTCGGTTTCTCTGAAGTAGGCCAGCCTACCGAACAGTCGGCTAGAATTATGGGTAGTTCTGAGTTCCTTCTGGCGATGGCTGCATTTTAAAAGTAGGGCTATAGCTGTGGCGATGGACGAGGCAGCCATTTTAAGGGAGGAGGGGCTTCAATTCCCGGAACCCGGAGGCGAGCCTCTGGTCTACAGCTGTGCTGCTTTTACAGTTGCTGGGTCATTTAAGGCCGCCAGTTATGAATATTTTAGCAGTTCGTCATCTTAAAATTGGGCATCCTGCACAGCAGTGACAAGTAGCGAAGCCACACACTGACATCTTTATTAACTGCTATCCTATGGGACAACACTTTGACGCCAGACTATTGGCTGCTCCAATGAGCATGCGCTTCCAGACTGGCCAATTGCCTTGCGACTTCCACCCCACCCTTCACCATCTTAACATTGGGCGCTTCTAGCAGTAGCAGAGTCTAGTGAAGCTTCTGGCTACCTTCTTGGTTGAGGGCAGAATCGAGGGTGGAGCTGCGCGGGCTGAGCCGGCAGATTCTCCGGGACCCACGTGGAAGCCGCGCTCAGAATGGTAGGAGGAATGTTTGAGCTCCTGCTTTTGATGTTGGGGGTTCGCGGAGGGCTGGGGATGGTTCCTGGACTTGGGGCGGGTGGCCCTCGGGGCCCGGACGTGTGTGGCTAGAAAGAGGTCGACCGGACCCGCTGTTCCCTAGCTGCGTCGTGAGGCCCGCCTTCGCCGGGAGTACCTGTACCGCAAGGCACGCGAGGAGTCGCAGCGAGCCGCCCAGGAGAAGAAAGAGAAGGTTCGGCGCGCGCTCGAAGGTATGCCTGTCGCCGCCCCTAGGCAGCTCTAAATGTGTCATTATGAAGACCATTGGTTTGCATTTTAAAACCCAACGGAATAAAACCCTTTTATTAGCATTTCTTAGTGTGGCTAAGAACCCTGGGCCGTTTTCCTTGCCTGTTGGGTCTCCTGTTGGTTTGCAGATGCCCCTTCCGTGATGGTATGAATTACTTACATTTGTGCTGCAGCATCCAGATTTTACAATTTGCCTATTAATTTTGTTTACAGTGTGTTCTTACCAAATTTAAATTCTTTACGTTGTCCTATAGATATTTTACCTCCGCCCCCACCGCCCTTATTTTTCTTTTTGCTACCTTCAGTACAAGGTAGCAAGAATATCTCACTGTCTTAGCATTGTTATGATTCCCTTGCTTTTTAAAACTGTTAAATTGCAGAGAACTTAATTTTATTTGAGTTGTTAATTAGGATCTAACTTTGCAGTATTTTCTCCACTTTTTTAAAAAAAGTATTTTCTATGCTTTTTATTTGTCATACTAATGAAGAGTGTTACACATGCCTAATGGGAAGTCCCGTATCCATCCCTATTTTCTTGGTTCTTGTGTGGATGGAACTTTGTTTTCTATTCTGATAGTACTTTAGCTTAATACCTCTAATTATTTTAAATTAACTTTGATTTTCTTATGGTTTAGACAGAAAGTGCATATGTTTTGTATATATATGTTTGCATTAAGCATTGTGTTAAACACTTGTGACCTATCTGCCCACATTAGAAATTAAAAATGCTCAATATATTGAAATTCAAGAATATTTACCCCAACTCAGATAACCACAACATTGAATAGTGTTTGAAAATAAACCGTTTCCTTGTTTTTCTTTGTGCTTATGTCATGCTTGTTTGTATCCCTAAATCGTATGGCTCGATTTTTAGTTTTAAATGTAATTGTTCGGTTGTATGTATTCTTTCACAGCTTTATATTTTCACTCAGCATTGTTTCTAAGATCAGTTGAGTGTAGTGGGGGCTCCCATTTCCCTGTGCTTGGTATTGAGCTTATTTTTAGTTTGGGGCAGTTAAGAAAAGCACTGCTGCTATGAACCTTTTCTTCCATGTGCAAGAATTTCTCCAGGGCATATTGGAAAGAAATCTTGGGTCCAAGGGCATGTTCATATTCTGTACTTCAGCTCTGCCTACAGCCCAGCCCTTCTGCCAAGTACAGCTTTAGTTCACAGCAGAAACCTCTGACCCAAAGCATCAAGATTAGCGGTTTGGGGGCACTTGGGTGGCTCAGTCGGATTTAAGCATCCGACTTCAGCTCAGTTCATGATCTCACAGTTTGTGAGTTCCAGTCCCACCTCGGGCTCTACACTGAGTATGCAGACCCTGCAAGATTAGCAGTTTTGTTATCAGAGGGTTTCAGGATTTCTGGTCCACCTTTGTACAGAGCACTCTGGATTTATTCTTTAAAAAAATTGGTTTGCTAATTTTTTTCTAATTACAAAAACAGTATATACTTGCGATTAAATATTTTTAGAAAGCCCTCAAACCATGAAACTCAGGAACAATAAACAACCTGTAACCATTGTTAACGGGTTGGCATGTAAGACAAATTGTTTTGTCTTTCCCTTCCTCCTGCCAAAAAATCATGAATCTTCTTTCTGCACAGAAAGGAGTAAAAAGGTACTTTTTCATCAAGTCTGTACAGTTTTTGTAAGCAACGGTGTTGTTCAAATGAAGAATCCATGCTTGTGTCTTACTCAGCCCCTCTGTCTTCCCCCTGCAGAGAACCGCCTGATTCCTACGGAGTTACGCAGGGAGGCTCTGGCCTTACAGGGATCCCTGGAGTTTGATGATGCCGGTGGTGAAGGTGAACTTTCCTGACACTGGGCCAGCTTTTCTCCCTGCACTTGAGCCTGCTGGCTTCCATGTCATTCCTCAGACACCTTGAAGGAAAGGCTCTGCAGCTCCTGCTCCCAAAACTCTCCCAAGTGCCCTCATGACTCTGCACAGATGGCACCTCAGAACAGCTCTTCTTTACTGCTCCCCATTCCATTTATGTAACACATACAATATTATCCCACTTTCTGTTTTGTCTGTTGTTTCCCTTACTAGAATAGGAACTCTGCCAGGGCAAGACAGTGTCCATTTTGTTCACTGCCATGTCCCCAGCTCCTGGTACTTCCTTGGCATCCGCATGTTTCATTCATTGCGTTATTCAACAGATATTAAAGGTATCAAAGACATTATAAATTTTTGTTATGAGGGAAAGGAGTCTGTTACCTTTGGCCTAACAATCTGGACTTGTGCTAGTATGGTAGCAACTAACCCTATGTGATAAATATAATTAAAATGAACTAAAATTAAATCATATTTAAAAACTTAGTGCCTCAGTCACACTTGTGTTTGTGATCAGTGTGGCTGGGGAGCCACCTTCCTGCCCAGTGCAGGTGTGGAGCATGTTCATTGTTGAAGGTGTTACCAGACAGTGTTGCTCTAGACAGATTCACGCTCCCTCAAGTTAGCGTTTTACTTCCCAAGACGATGTCCTGTTCTTGCCCCTCATGCTCCTGACAGGTGTGACCAACCACATGGATGATGAATATCGATGGGCAGGGGTTGAGGATCCTAAGGTCATGATCACTACCTCTCGAGATCCCAGTTCTCGCCTGAAGATGTTTGCAAAGGTACCAGTAGTGGGGAGCAAGTGGGAGATGCTAAGGCACTAGTGGCCCCAGTCCTAATTGGAGTGTGTTCGTGTGCAGGAGCTGAAGTTGGTGTTCCCGGGTGCCCAGCGCATGAACCGTGGCCGGCATGAGGTGGGAGCACTGGTGCGAGCCTGCAAAGCCAACGGGGTCACTGACCTGCTGGTTGTCCATGAGCATCGAGGCACACCTGGTAAGTCTGGTGGGCAGGCACCAAGGTGTCTGCTGGGGTTGCTGGGGTGACCGTCTGAGAGCAGAGCGGGTCTCTGACGGCCTGCCTGGCCCCGCCAGTGGGGTTCATTGTCAGCCACCTGCCCTTCGGCCCCACTGCTTACTTCACACTGTGCAATGTGGTCATGCGGCATGACATCCCTGACCTGGGAACCGTGTCAGAGGCCAAGCCTCACCTCATCATGCATGGCTTCTCCTCCCGCCTAGGCAAGCGGGTGAGTCTGGGTCCAAAGGGTGAGGGCTGGGGGCAGGGAGTTCCAGGCTGGGCATTTGCCGCTCTCCTTCCCTCTGACCCAGGTCTCTGACATACTCCGTTACCTGTTCCCTGTGCCCAAAGATGACAGCCACCGGGTTATCACCTTTGCGAACCAAGATGATTATATCTCCTTCCGGTGGGTCCATGGGCTGGCCTTAGAATGGTGTCCTGACTTTTGTGTCCCTCTGCTGTTTATTGTCGACCCACATCTGCTCCCTGTCTCCCCTCATCCCTGCCTCCCCTCGCCCCAGGCACCACGTATATAGGAAGACCAACCACCGCAGTGTGGAGCTGACTGAGGTTGGGCCTCGCTTTGAACTGAAGTGTGAGTTTGGGGCTTTACTCTACTTCTGGTCAGGGATGGGGAGGGAGTCTGGCAGTATAGATGACAATGTTCCAATCTCCATCCCCCCAGTGTATATGATTCGCCTGGGCACGCTGGAGCAGGAGGCCACCGCAGATGTGGAGTGGCGCTGGCACCCGTATACCAACACCGCACGCAAGAGGGTCTTTCTGAGTGCTGAGTGAGCCCACTCACTGATCAGGACATAGACCTGGACCCAGGAGGAAGGGAGGGGTCAGAATAAAGTCTGTGTGCCACACTACCACATTTGTCTCTGTGTGGTTAGGACAAGCCCACTGTCAGGCTGAATGTGAGGGACAGTGTTCCTGGGGTCCCCTCGGGGGGAACCTGACAGCTCAAGGACATTTTGAGGCCTGATGTTGATATTGTGTGTAGGATGAAGCAGGCCCAACCTGCTGGCTTGTACCTTAGCCATAGGGAAGGTTTGGGAGATTTGATGCTGCTGTGACTGGAAAGTCAGAGGCCCTCTGAGAACTCATCTCAGACTGGGGATGGACAGTGGTACGGGTTTTACACAGAATGTTCGTGAAGACCCGACAGCATGCACCCAAGCAACAACCTTCGGAGAGAAATCCATCACACCACAATGGGGCGGCCTGAGAACAAGTCAGGCAGGGGCATGGAGAGTGGAGAGCTACAGGGTAGCGTGAAGCAGCAGGGGCCATCTGGATGATCCATGTAAAGACCCTGAGCTGGACATACTCATGAGGGTCCCAGGAGCAGGAGTGGCCTAGTGGGGGGGGGGGGGGGGGGCGCTTGAGGGGGGCTGGCGATAGGACCTCACATGATGTCTGTGGCTTTTGGCTCCACTCGTGAATCCAGAGGCTTCTGGAGCCTCTCACCTTGCCATCGCCTCGGTTCATGAAAAATATGCCACTAAAATTTTTGTGTAAGTTACAGAAATTCCAAAATATATACAAAGCAGAGTAGTATAATATTTTATGTTAGTTTCCAGGGGCTGCTGTCACAAATTGCCATAAACTGGGTGGCTTAAAACAACAAATTCATTTAAATTCTGGAGACCAGAAGTCGGATTAAGGTGTTGGTTGTATTCTCAGCCCCTCCTCCGTTACTTGCCTCTTCCAGCTTCTGGTGGCTGCCAACAATCCTTAGTGTTCTTTGGCATGTGATTGCAGCATTGTGGTTTCTGCCTTTGTCTTCACATGATCTCTACTGTCCGTGTCCTTTGTGTGTCTTTTATACGGACACTTGTCATTGGATTTATAGCCCATGAGAAAATCAAGGGTTTTTTTAACATTTGTTTTTGAGAGAGAAAGAGCGTGAGTTGGGGAAGGACAGAGAGAGACACATCCGGAGCAGCTCCAGGTTCAGCTGTTGGCACAGAGCCCGACGTGGGGCTCGAACCCACAAGCCATGAGATCATGACCTGAAGTCCAACGCTTAACCGACTGAGCCACCCAGGTGCTCCTTATTTTTTAATAGCACAGAAGTCTCACTTAGAACAGCCGCCTTTGTGCTGGGGGCCAATTTTCAGCCAGGGACAGGCAGAAAATAAGATGCGAAGTATTTAGTATTCCCTTCATTGTGAGTTCTTCTGTGCTAAAATTAGCCTTCAAGTGTAATTGTTTCAAGTTCCTGAGAAAATCCACACAGGCTCACTGGTAGTGGAGGGCTTTAGACCATTGGGTGTGTGTTTTGCTTATCAGCTGCATTCAGCCATTGGGATGAGTGGTATAAATGTTAACTTTTGTAATGTTAGGTATCCAAGTTAATGGAGGATCCTTAGTAAGCAGGGAGGCATCCTCTTCCGGCCTGCCATGTCTGCAAGAGGTACAGGGAGATACAGAAAACAGGAAGGGCAGGAGCCCCACACCTACTGAAGGTGAGGCATGAGGACACGCAGTTGTTTGAATGGCACCCCCTCCCTCTCCCCCCCCCCCCCCCCCCCCCCCCCCCCCCAGTATGGCCACAGCCTAATTCTTGGTGCCTGTGAATATGACCTTATTTGGAGAAAAAAAGGTCTTTGCAGATGGGGGGATAATCAAGTTAATGTTAAGTCCTGTTTTCCCTGGAAAAACATACTGTGCTGGTGGAAGAACCTGTGAGTAAAGTCTTTTCAGATGGCAGTTTGGTAGGTTTCTTAGCATTTAAAATGTGGTTCTACTTCTTGAGTCACCATGCTAGGGTCAAAAATGGTCCCTGTGATGCTGCTGAGGACAGTTTAGGCCTGACTGTTAGGCCTGGACAGCTTTACCTGGATGTTTGACCAGGGGAGCTTGTAAAGTTTGTCAATAAAATAACAGTAGTTAAAATAAAGCAAGAGACAAGTTAGGGGAAACGTCCACTGTAGCACTTGTGTATTGCACAGATAATATCTGAGGACTCAGGGAGCCTTCAATTTGAGGCATGGTACAGCAATTAAAGGGATATTTGTGCATCTTTTGTTTGACTTTTCTAGAAAATCAGTTAATAAATTATACAGTTTTGAAATGTGAAGGACAAGAGAGGAGGCAGAAGTGGGTGTGGGCTTTTGGTGCCTACCATTTGGAGCATCTCTCCTGGCCAGGGAGCAGTGGCCCAGGGAGAACAGAGGGCTGTTGGGCTCAGGAAACGCCCTGTTTCATGTCTGCAACTGATCTTCATGTTCTAGTATTCTTCTCAATATTCAGAAATAATAACGTGGGGAATCCAAGTCAAGGGCATGAGAGATCCGTGCTCTGTTTTTGTAACTTATATATAAACGTGACATTTCAAAAGTAGAAGTTTTAAAGGAATTATTGCTAATCTTATTGAATGACAATATTGGAGTTCCTTTAGAAAATGTTTCGTTAGTTTTTAGAGACATCGTGAAGTATTTGGAGGTGAAATATCAGCTCCATAACTTGCTTGAAAATGCTTCAGGAGGGGGGGGAAAGTAGCTAAAACAAAATACTAATTGTCATATTTAGCAGAGGGTTTGTTACATTCTTTCTAATTTGTTGTATGTTTCAAATTTTTCACAGTAAAGGCTTAAAAGGAAAATAATTAAAAATGCCTTCTGGTGTTATTTAAAGCATATTTTTAAGTTATTGAAAAGCTTCAAGCAAAAAATTGAGGTGTGAAAATAAAAGGTAACTTCAGATACAATGAGGTTAATAGGCCAGCAGGGGGTGTTCTCACCCCCAACCATTCCTTGTTAACTGCAGACCCAACTGGAAGAAAAACCTTTTAAGTCCCTTGCTACTTTAGCTGCTGGTTTGCTATTCCCCACCATCCTCTTGCAGGAGAAAGGTTTTCTACTACCCCCTGGCAACAGCCCAGCCAATGAGAGACAGTCACAACTCAGCCAATGAAAAGCCACTATACTTTGAACTCCCAGTTTATTCGCATGGACTTTTTGTTTAGAACACCCCTCCCAACTTCCCATTTTCCTCTATAAAAGACTATTCCATTCCTCTCCTTTGTTCTCTGGACTTTCCTATGGTTTTGCCCAATCGTGCTTGTCTTGGATTACAGTTCCCTACTATTCCCAGATAAACCCATTTTTTGTTGGTAAATAACTGGCAGTTTTAAAGTTACCAAAAGAGACATGCTAAACAGTAATGGTGATTGAAAGCCATGGAGAGGGCCAAGGGGTGGGGAAGAAGAGGAGAGAGAATGTATTCATTTTTCACTTTTAGGCATTGGTCCACCAGACTGGCTGCAGTGAACATCATGCCCACTTTCCCTTATTCTCCCTTATTATTTCCTTAGGGCACATTCCTAGAAGTGGAATTTCTGATCCAAGGAGATGCATAAGTGTAGTAAGCCTTTTGATATTTGCTACCAGAAAGTTTGTAGCAGGAGACCATTTTTATCAGATTGGCAAAGATGAAAAAGTTTCAGTATGGTTCATACTGTGGGGAATTGAGTTTTGAATAGATGCAAAGCTTTAGGGGGAAATTTCATAATTTCGACTTTGATCCAGTGGCCAGACCTGGGAATGTGCCTGACCTGCACACCGTGTGCACAGTGGTCACCATGCAACCATCTGCACCATTGTTTCTAGCACAGGGAAACGGCCTAAGTGTCCATCAGTAGCACTAAATTTACATAAATTAGGATGCATCCACAGAGTGAAACACTGCAGCCACAGAAGAACACCTCAAGATAGAGTGTTAAGTAAAAAGCATGGTGAAATGCCATATGTGATATGTTACGGGTTTGCAAAATAAAGGGCAAGGGCCCTGTGCTGGTGTATGAACTGCATTATCTCTAGGAGGGTAAACATTCAAATGGTGCCTTGCAGAAGGGAACCAGTGCACTGGGATCCAGGGAGGAGGGAGACTTTACTTCAGTGCTGTGAGTAGACATTTCATTTACTTCTTGACCACTTTTGTGAGCTCCCTTCTGGGTTCCCTGCCCACTTTTCTTTGGAGTGCAGGAGAGGCACTTTGATTTGTTCTGATTGGCTTCAGGAGTTTAAAGATGTTGGAAATACTTCTCTAAAACTGACACTTCTTTAAGTTGTAAAAGGAACACACCCTCATGTTTTTTACAGAAGTGCACAGTGAAAAATAAGCCACCTTCCTACTCCCCATGACCCCAACAATCCAGCTGTATTCTCCAGAAACTATTGACTATTGCCTTAAAATCTATATATATTATAAATATATATAATATATATGTTATATAGATATATGTTATATATTATTAATATATATAATATATATGTTATATAGATATATGTTATATATTATATAGATAGATATAGATGTGTTATATATATATAATCTATCTACCATCTATATACCTATATATCTATATATAGACATATATATCTAGGGATCATGCTGTGCACACCATTCTGAAACTTGGTGTCTTTCCATTTAATAATCTCTTTAGGATACCTCTAGGTTATCAAAGATACCCAGTACACGTGAATCCACTTCCTATTTAATGGATGCACACTCAAGTGTTTCCTGTTTTTACTCTCAGAAATCTTGCTTCAAAACATCATTGAACATACTTCTGTGTACACTTACGTGAGTATATCTGATGAATAAATTCCTGCGAGTGGAATTTTGTCTTTAAAATGATCATAGATGCTGCTGAATTGTCCCCCAAGAGGCTGTCCCAGCCACTGTCAGTAGGTCTGTTTCTGTGTCCTTGCCAGTACTGAGTACTATCAGACTTATCAACATAAGCCAAGCTCTAGATGCAGAATGATTTGTAGTTCTTTAATTATGACAGGTGTTGTGCATCTTGTCAAATACTATTGGGAATTTGTATGTGTGTGTTCTCTGTGAGCTGTTTGCTCTCCTTCTCTATAGAAATGACTTCACCTCTGTATTGATTGTTTTAAATATTTAATTGTGGAAAATTTCAAGCATAAGAGCAAGAGAGGAACATAATAAAATATGTTATTTTAAATATCCAGTTACTGTTCAGTTTTCCCTGGTTACAGTATGTTAGTTTGAACTAGGATCCACATTAGGTCCATTCGTTGCAAATGATTGACAAGTCATTTGTCATTCTTTTTTTAAACAGCTCTATTGAGATATAATTCACACATCACACAGTTAACCCAAAGTATACAATTAAAAAATACAAACAATTAAGCTTCTTCTATTATCTTCACAGGGTTGTACAACCATCGCTCTAGTTTTAGAACATTTTGTCTCTCCGACAAGGAACCCCGTCCCCATAAGCTGTCACTCCCCATTCCCCTCCAACCATCCCTTCACCCTCAGCCCCTCGCAACCACTAATCTACTTTTGGTCCATAGACCTATTGTGGGTATTTCATATGAATGGAATCATACAACATGTGGTGTTTTTGTGACTGCCTTCTTTTATTTAGCAGTACACTGTCAAAGTTTACCCCTGTTGTCAGTACTCCATTTCTTTTTGGTGCTGAATAATGTATGTGTATGCCACATTTATCACTTTATGAAATTTGGGTGGTTTCTACTTTGGAGCTATTATGAATAGTGCCACCATAAATACTTGTGTATACATCCTAAGTCTCTAGTAACCTATAGGATTCCCTGTTTTTAATCTTTTCTTTGAAATATATTCAATTATTCAATTAGGACACTGGTTTATTTGTCTTGTAGAGTTTCCACAGTCTGATCTTGTTCCTGCTGTGTCACTTAATATTTTCCTATGCCTTTATATTTCCTTTGCATTAACATCTAGATCTAAAGGTTCGGTCAGATACAGGTTTAAATCTTGTTGGCAAGAATGCTTGTGTTCTTTTACCAGGAGGCTGATAACGTGTGTCTTTTTTTGATGTTAGCAGACATTAATATCATTGCCTAGCTTTATTAATTCACTAGAGATTTCAAACCTGGTGGCTATTTTTCAGTAAATATGAAATCTTTCTTGCATCATAATTTCAAGTTCATTTTTTGCTAGTATGTAGGGAAGTGATTTCTGTGTGCATATGTGTGATATGTGTGTGTATTATATTTCAACCAGATACTTTATTACACTTTCTTATAAGCCCTTTTGGTTTTTCATAAGATTTTCTAGAACATTCTAGCTGATTATGCCATATGCCATATGCCAGTTACAGCATTTTTGACAGACCCCTCCTTTTTTTCTACTTGCCAGAGTGCATCGGCTAGGAACGCAAAACACCCAGCAACAGCAGCAGCAGCATGAGATGCCCCTGCCCTTGCTCTTGGTCTCCTTACAGGAATCCTTCCAGAGATGTAATACTTACCCAGACATAGATGTACAATTAGCTTCTCTCTAGTTTTATAACTGAGTGGCAGAAGCCGGTGGAGACAGACCCATACCTCCCTTTGGTTGTGATGCCATGGGTTCTGCACTCAGCAACCAAAGAGCCCTTAGCTATGCAGGACCCCAGCCAGACTAAGATTAACAGAATGTGGCCAGTTGGTCTTTTCAAAATAAAGTGCCACATACAGAGGTGTGTGTGCACCGGGCTAAAATTGTGTATAGAAAGTGAACGCCAAGGATGCAGAGGCCCCGGGATGCTGCAGCATTGTTGGAGCACTTGTTTGCCTAGAGCTCACAGGAGCCAGAGCTGTCAGCGCAGAGGGCGCGGAGCTGAGTTTATTTCCTCCACAGACATGCACTAGCATCTGGAGATCACTCTAGGTGATGGAGATAACCAGGCTCTGTCCTGGAAGAAGTGGGGCTGGCCTGGGAAAGTTGGTATAAACATTTTAAGGATGTCGTTTTTAAAGATAAGGAAGAGGGCTTCCCCCCTCCCTCTCTAAAGCAGAACAGCAGGGCAGTTCCAAGGACAAAAACAAGCCCTCCACAGAGAGATCATGTGGTTTGGCAGCAGGACTGAGAAAGGATAAGGTGGCTTTCTCCCTGGGCTGTGTTTCCTCAGCTCTGAGCTGCTGCTCTTTGCCCCATAAAGGGACCAGGAGAGATCCTCAATTCAGAACAATGAAATCCAAAACCGCTGAGGAAAGTTCAAGGAGACTAACAAAAGCCCTTCCAAAGGTACTTAGCTACAGTCACTGGTGGGCACAAGCTGCCCCTCCCATTGGAGACAGTGTCATTTTTCCTGTTTGCTAAATGCCACACTGTGGCTAGACCAACAGGTCAGCCCACCCAGCCTGCAGGTTTTTTGTTTTTTGGTTTTTTTTTTAATTTTTTTTTAATGTTTATTTATTTTTGAGACAGAGAGAGACAAAGCATGAACGGAGGAGGGTCAGAGAGAGGGAGACACAGAATCTGAAACAGGCTCCAGGCTCTGAGCTGTCAGCACAGAGCCCGACGCGGGGCTCGAACTCATGGACCGCCAGATCATGACCTGAGCCAAAGTTGGCCGCTTAACCGACTGAGCCACCCAGGCGCCCCTGCAGGTTTTTAACAAGAGCAGTGGGAGAATTTTTTCAACGTTTTCTGCCCTTTTTTTTTTGCCTATCAAAAGGGAGCCAGAGAAGAACTGTAAAGTAGTATTATCAATAGTCTCTGCATCTGCCACCAAACTGCCAGGGTTAAGGCGATATCCACTATGTTTCTCCATTGTAAAGTTACCATTTTCCCCTTTGCAACATCAGCTCAGCCTGGGTTCCTCACAGCCTTAGGAAAACTTCTGCAGGCACCCTCCAGCAACCAGTCCACTTGGCCCTGCTGAGTGGCCAGTCAGTGAGCACTCTGAGCTGGCAAACAGGCAGACCCGCATGTGGCATGTGGGCGTCACAACACTCGGGACCTTCAGAGGCATGCCATCTGCTCCCACTGCATGGGACTGTGACCAGTAGCGTGAACAAAAGGGCCACTAGCAGCAGTAAATCCCACTGTAAGAACAGCGTGTGCAATTCTCTGGGGGAAGAGAGAGGTGCGGCTGGGCTACCGGAGGAGCTCTCGGGGGTCTTCCCACCCTCCACACCCAGCCTGAGCTGAGCAGCTGGCAAGCCAGGAGCATTTGGATGTTTGGAGAGACAGGAAGAGACGGTCGGGAAGCCAGGCAAGTTCAACAGTGACAGGGGGGCATGGAGTGGGGGTGAAAGTGCAGCCAAAAAGACCGACAGCCAACCCAGCTGGAAGTCTCAGCCACTTCTATTCAGAAGCCATAAGATTTCAAGCCACATAGAAAGATCCCCAAACGGACAAACATACAGACCCCTGGATAGACAGACAGACTTCTAGATGGACAAAATCCCAGGGAAACAAACAGACTCCAGAGGGACAGACAGCCAGACAAATGGACATATTCTTGAACAAACGGGAAGACACCCAGCCAGACATCCAGAAAGACCTGTGGTCAGACACATGGACACCCCCAGCTCCAGCCATTTGGAAGATGACCACAGCCAACCGAAAGAAAATATCCCTCAAGGACAGACACCTTCCCCACAAACGGACAAACAGACACTACCCCAGCAGAGAGATACCCACCTACCCAATCAACTAGCCAGCCAAACCTCAGCTTTACCTTCTACAGTCTTAAGTTCTGCCAGTAAAGACAGACTCCAGCCTATGAAAAAGTCAGGCCCTCAGCAGGATAAAAGATACATCCCCACCAAGCCAGCTGGATGGACAGACAACTGTCAAGTCAGGTAGACAGATACACCCCCGCACACACGCTGGACAAACAGACCCTCAGTCACTAGTCAGACAGAAGATCTCCAGTTAGCCAGAACCCAGCTTCTGGGTCAGCCTCCCTGCCTCCCAGTCACCATCATAGATGATATGGATGGCCCAATGACCCCTCAGTGTTACGCCTACTCCTCAGGTACCACCAGTTTCCAGTGACCTTTGACCTCTAATGATATCCACTAACACCACGGTCCACAAAAGACCCTTCATGATCCCACAGTGACTCTTCCTCGTTTACTCCGGTATACACTAGTCCCTAATAACTACCATTAGCATCCATGAGTACTCGGGGATTCAAGAGTGTCCATGAGTCCTCCATTGAACATCCATATATTCTCAAAGTTCCTGATACTTCTGTGTCCCACTTCCCTGAGTCTCCAAAAACCAATAACTGTCCAGGAAATCTCAGTGATTTCATTGGCATTCACTGTTGTGGCCTGAGTAGGATCCCTCAGTGACCTTCCCTCTTTTGACCTCTCAGTTACTTAAACTACCACTCCCAATCCCAACAGCCCCTCAGCTACTTTCACTGTGTCTCACTGACCTCCAACGACTGCTAGTAACATCCACTAACGATGCCCCATGAACACCCAAGGAACTCTCAACTGACTTCCAATTAATTCACTATCAATGCCCATCCTCAGTGATCACTACTGACCATCTTTGAAGTCTTAGAGATGAAACTGATAAATACTGAGCCCACAGTAATCCCTCAATAAATGAAACATCCCCACTGATCATCCACTTTGACTTCTGTCACTTAAACCTGGGTTAGCAAACCACAGCCTGAGGCTACACACACACACACACACACACACAAGAATGTTTTGTGACATGATAACTACATGAAATTAAAAGTTCAGTGTCCACAAATAGTTTTATTGACACATAGACACACTCATTCCTTTACATGTTGCCTATGGCTTTCACACTGCCATGGTGGAGTTGGTAGCTAGAACAAGACCAGAGCCAGCAAGACCAAAGACCAAAAAGACTTTTAAAAAAGTATGCCCATCCCTAACATAAACAACACTCTAATAATCCCCTAATGAATTAAATCCACAACTTGAACCAATGACCCTGTCAACCCCTCAATGACTTAAAGACCTCACCCTATCCGTTACCCTTTGAGAGCTTGATGACCTCAAACTGGACTCCTGAGATACCCCCTCGAGTGACACCCCCAGAAATTCCTTCCATGACCTCGGTGAAGGGTGGGCTAACCCATCTACCCAGGCGGGACCCCTAGGCCCCTCTCTGCTTTCTCCAGCCTCCCCTTGGTGACCCGGGGAACTGGGTCACCAAGTTGTCCTTTGGCCTTTTCCTGCCTATTTTCTGAAGGTGAGGGTGTGGGGACAGCAAAACGGAGAAGGTCTTTGAAAGCGTTGAGAACATCTCCCCTCCCTCCCCCCGCCCCCAACCCACTTCTATGTGGTCAGTTCTGTTTCCCGGCAGGTTTATGCGGGTTGAGATCCTTGAATTAAGACTGGTTGTTTGCTTCCCCAGCTCCTCTTAGCCTGACCCAGGAAACGGAATCTCAGGAAATACGGAGATACAGAAGCATCCACTTCCATTAGGTCTTTCTCACAGCACGGGTGCACAGGTGTCATCCCCCCACCCCCCCACCCCCCCCCGCAACCTCCTGCGACCTCTCTCGCGCCCCGCCACAGCGCACGGGCGAAGAACATCCCCAACCCAGGGTCCTCGAGGCAAGAGTGGCAGCTCGATCTCGGCGACCGTGTCCACTCACAACTGCAGCACCACTCCGGCTCGGAGCCCAGTCTATGTCTCAGGGAGACCCGACGGGGGAGGCCAGGCGAGAACGAATGGCCATCTACCGAACGCGGGCACTTGGAAGGTTGGCCCCGGGCTTCCAAGCAAGAGGAAGCGTCCGCGGGATTGTGCGGTGTCACCCGACGTGCCCCGCGCGCAGACCAAGCGAGGCGCGGGCGCCGGACTCAGTCCCGCCGCACAGCCGCAGGCGACCCGCCGCGCTGGCTGCTACGGGCCCCGGAGCCTGCGGGCGCTACCAAGGAGAGCTCCGGACGCCTTGGCCGAGGGGCGCGCCCTGCTGGCTGTCGCGCGATTCCATTGGGTCGCAAGGTCGGAGGCGGGGCCTCCGCTGCCAGCCGCGCCTCCAGCATGCTGGATACTGGCCACTGGCTCGGGGCTCAGTCCTCGGACACGACGTAGCTAGCCCGCGGCGTCTGAGCCGCAGCTGGGACGTGGCGCGGAGCGGAGCGTCCGGGAGCAGCTGGAGGCGGGCTGCCGGGAGGAGGTGGCCCTTGCCGGCGAGTTCAGCGTGAGCGGGCGAGAGCGGACCGCCAGACGGTGCGCTTCGGCTCCTAGTCCTGGACTGTCTGGAGGTCTGCCCTCCTTCCGTCTCTCCCTCTGTCGGCGTCCGGGGCTGTCTCCCGGCCTCGAGGTAAGTTGTTCTCTCCCCAGCACGGGTCTGTCACTCTCTCCCCTGTCTCTGTCTTCGCCCTCCGCCTGCAGGGCCCCAGAAAGCGAATCCACTAACTGCCTGGCTGGACCGCGCCCATCCCAGCCCTGGCTCCCCTGACCGCGTCTCGCTCCGGAACCGCGCACAGCCGTGGCTTCCGTGACCTCGTCCCGCTCCAGAACCGCGTACGGCCCTGGCTCTCATGACCAGGTCCCGCTCCGGAGCCGCGCACACCCCTGATTCTCGTGACCTCGTCCTGCTCCGAAACCGCGCACACCCCTTCCTCCCGTGACGGCGTCCGACTCTGGAACCGCGCACACCCCTGGCTCATGACCTCGTCCGGCTCCGGAACCGCGCACACCCCTGCCTCCCATGACCGCATCCCGCTCCGGAACCGCCCACACTCCTGGCTCTCGTGACAGCGTCCCGCTCCGGAACCGCGCACACTCCGGGCTCCCGTGACCTCGTCCCACTGCCGGTCTGGGCAGCAGCAGAAGACTGCGCAGCAAGGGAAGGCAGGCGCAGGATCAAGCTGGAAGCCGATCACCAGGGCCTCTCTGGGAAGGAAACGGCTGGGGGAAGAGGAGCGCAGAGGCCCCGCTGAGGCGGGTGTGGTCGCCGCGCTCTGATAGACGCTGTGGCCTCGGGTGCTTCACGTGGCCCCTCTGGCGTTGGTTTCTCGGGTGAAATGCGGCCCTTGCCGACTAAAGTGGCGTGAGAAACTGGTGTAGGTTAAAAGAGCGCCTAGCACATCTTGAGCGCTCACTTTGTAGGCGTCTTTGTCACTAGTTATAAACACTGTCAACATTACAGGGGGGAGGTGCAAGCCATGCGTAGGGAACGGTAATGCAGCATCGTAGGCATTTGGTAGGTGTTACTTATCACCGTCTGATTATGAGTAGCTGAGGAGGATAGTAATACAGTCGCCACTAATAACAATCTAACAGTAACAAGGTATCTGTAATATTTTGTTACATAAGTAATGTTATACGTTATAATTCATATACAGTGTATATTGTTATATGTATCATATATCATGCTTGTTAAATACATACTACGTTATAGTTATTGTTTGCAATACAATACAATTGAGTGTATAGGGTAGATGCAGAGAGGTCTGAATGCCACCCTCACTGTGCCGCTTCCTGGGGCGCGGGGGGGGGGGGGGGGGGGGGGGGGGAGGGGGACTTTTGCCAAGTCACTCAACCATGTGGTGGTGCCTCAGCTTTCTTACCTACGCGGTGGGGACATCAATAATAGTACCCACTTGGGGAAGACCTGGCGATGACTCAATGCCATTGGCACAGAGAAGGCGCGTGGTCACTACCATTAGCAGGGCACCATGCTTTCCGGAAAAGTCTGCATTCGCCTCTCACAGGCCACGTGCTTTGTGTCCCTACAAGCCACTCTGTGCCCCAGGACTTTGATCTGGTTCCTCTTTTCCTTCTCCCTCCCCTGGTCTGCTTGGTGTGCCTTCCAACCAGGACATCCAGGCCTGCTTAGCCACATGGAAGACTGAGCCTGTGCATTCCACCCAGGCTGGCAGTCGGCCAGGGAATGTGAGGAAAAACCACCACAAAGATGTGCTTCCAAGTAAGTCAGGGGCTTTCAGGAGTAGATGGGGCTCTGCACCCACCCCTCACTGCAGCACAGTCCAGTCCACCCCAGTTTGCTCCCAGAGCACTCCCTCCCAGGTCCTTGCCAATCCTTGCAGTGGCTGCCTTTCTTTCTTTTGTTCTTTTAAGTTTATTTATTTATTTATTTATTTTGAGAGAGACAGTGTGAGCAGGGGAGGGGCAGAGAGAGAGAGAGAGAGAGAGGGAGAGAGAGAAAATCCCAAACAGGCTCCATGCTGCCACCTGCGGGAGCCCCACTCCAGGCTCCACTGGAATTCACCAACTCTGAGACCATGACCTGAGCTGAAACCAAGAGCGGGAGGCATAATGAACTGAATCACCCAGGCACCCCCGTGGCTGCCTTTCTCCTGAGCAGCTCATGAGTGTACCTAGGTGGACCCCTGCTGCGTGTGCAGCATCCCTGCTGGCTTTCATCCAGGAGGCTGTCAGGGGCTTGGTGCCTTTTCTCATCTCTCCCACTGGCAGATGATCAGGCACCAGTGGTCCTGTCCCTGCTCCAGGAGGAGGGACACGGCCACTACATCAATGGCAACTTCATCCAAGTCAGGCTGGGAGTCAGGGACAGGGTGGACATGGTGGGGGTGACAATAGGATCTGGGTGGTGAACTTAGCCTTTATCAGGGAGCAGACGGAAGCCGGGCCTATATTACCACACAGGGACCCCTGCCTCACACCTTGCTAGACTTCTGGCGCCTGGTCTGGGAGTTTGGGTTCAAGGTTAGCTTTCAGGGGGGGCGGGGGGAGCTAACATTCTGAGTCCTCCCTTGGCCTTGTTTTTCCTGTCCCCAAATCATTCCTGTCTCCCCTTATCTTTCGTGTCTCCGTGATCCTGAAGGCATGTCGAGATATGGAGAATGGGCAGGTAGGTGTTCTCAGCTCTCTAGAATGCACTTCCTTGTGCAGGGAGAAGGCAAGAGAAATCTTGCTAGCACCTCCCTAATGCTACTACTGAAAGGCCCAGTTCTTGGAGTGACTCCACTATTGCTCTTTAATTTTTTTGTTGCTGTCTTTCGTCTTATTCATGGTGCTTATCCCTGCAGTGTTCACAACTCCTCTACTGCTGGGCTTCCCACCCCAAATCTGCACCATAGACCATCAGGTCCTATACTCTGGCTTCCCTGGTACAGCTCTGATGTCTTTTTGCCTCTCCTTCCTTCACTCTGCTCTAGCCAGTTTGGCCTTTGCTGTTCCTCAGATGTGTCAGGGATGGCTCTGCCTCAGAGCCTGTGCCTTGGCTGTTCCCTCTGCCTGGAACATTCAAGGCTACTTCCTCCATGAGGCCTTCCTGGATCTTACATCATTTAAAACTCCCAGAACTCCCACTCTCCTTCCCTGTCCTATTTTCCTTTTTGCCTCACAGTTCTTCTCACTTCTAGCATACAAGGTAATCTACACATTGTTTATTCTCCATCTTCCTGATAAGAAGGAAAGTCCAGGAGGGCAGGGATCTCTATTTTGCCTGTTAGCATAAATTAGTTCCTCAGTAAACATATATCAGCATCGAAGGCACATGATTGTGCATTCTGGCCTGCATGGACAGGGTTGTGGGGTGGGTAAGTATTGCCCCGGGCGAATGGCTGATCATGGAGTATGCACAATCTGTAGTGACGTCCATTTTTCATTCCTGACTTTGGTAATTTGTGGTCGGCGTCTGTCACTCCTTAAGTCAGTCTGGCTAGAGTAAAGATGGGCAAACTTTAGCTGTTGTAGTAGGTCTGTCTTGCAGCCTTTTTCTTTTTTTTCTTGTAAATAAAATGTGTTAGAATATAGCCACACTCATATGTTTATATATCATGTATACCTGCTTTCATACTACAATGGCAGATTTCAGTAGTTTCAAGATGGGTAGATTGAATGGCTCACAAAGTGTAAAGTAGTTATTTATTATCTGGGCCCTTATAGGAAATGTTAGCCATCTCTGGGCTAGAGGTTTATCAGCTGTATTAATTTTTTTTCAAAGAAGCAGCTTTGGGCTTTACTCATTTTCTTTATTTTTTTTTCATTTCCTATTTCATGAATATCTTCTCTTCTTCATTTTTCCTTCCTAAAGGTTATTTAGGTTTAACTTGCTCTTATTTTCCTAATTTCTTAAACTTACATCATTGATTTGAAATTTTTCTTTTTTTTTATGTATAAGCATTTAGTGTTATTCACTTTTCTTTAAGCTTTAGCTACATCTCACAAACATGATAAGTTGTGTCTTCTCCAATTAGTTCAAAATATTTTCTAATTTCCCTTGTGATTTCTTCTTTGACTCGTGGTATTTTACCACAGTTGTTCTTAGTTTCCAAATATTTGAGGATTTTCCCATATATCTTCCTGTTATTTTTAGTTAATTCCACTGTGGTCAAGGAACAACTTTATATGATTTCAATCTTTCTAAATGTACTGAAACTTGTTTTATGGTCTTATGAATATGGTCTATATTGGTAAATACTCTGGTATTTATTGGTTAATTATTGGTAGATATTCTGGTAAATACTCAGAAAGAATGTGTGTTCTGCTTTTGTTGGGCGGAATGATCTATAAATATCAAGTCAGTCAAATTTACTGTGTCTTTGTTGACATTTTAATATTTTTGTATCTTTATTGTATTTTATAAATCTTAACTGATTACTTTTCTCTAAATGTTCTATCAATCGCTGAGAGAGGAGTGAAGTCTCCAGCTGTTCTATAATTGACAATTAGTATAATGTTATTTAAGTCTTATGTTTTGTATGGCCTTTTCGGAGGGGGTCTACTTGCCTTATTATTTGCTGAAATAATATTGAAATTTTCTAATTTTAAAATTATCTGGTTTGTCTTTTCAGTTCTTTCAGTTTCTGCTTCAGTTATTTTAAAAATCTGTAATTGAGTACATATACAGTTAGGATTATGTCTTCCTGATGAATCAATCCCTTTTCCAATATGTAAGGTCTCTTTTTATCTCTGGCAATATTCCTTTTTCTGAAGTGTACTTTGATATTAATACAGCCATTTAAATTACTCAGGTGTGCATATCTTTTTCCATTCTTTTACTTTTTTAAAAAATCTGTGTTCATCCTTATTTTTATTTTTTGAGTTTATTTATTTATTTTGAGAGAGAGAGAGAGAGAGAGAGAGAGAGTGTGTGTGTGTGTGTGTGTGTGTGTGTGTGTGTGTGTGTGTGTGTGTATGGGGGAGGGGCAGAAAGAGAGAGAAAGAGAAGCCCAAGCAGGCCCTGAGTTCTCAGCGCAGAGCCCCACTGTGGACTTGATCTCACTGAACGTGAGATCATGACCTGAGCCAATATCAAGAGTCAGATGCTTAATAGACTGAGCCACCCAGGCACCCCCATCATTATTTTTAAAGTGTCATGTAGGTGGCATATTGTAGGGACTTACTTTAGTATTCAGTCTGACAATTTCTGCCTTTATTTGGAGTATTTAGTTGTTAATATAATTATCAGTAATGTTGAATTTAAACCTACCATCTTTCTGTTTTCTATTTGTTCCATCTGTTCTTTGTCCCTTCATTCTTCTTCTCTGTCTTCTTTCAGACTGAGAATTTTTATGAATTCATTTCATAGTCATTATTGACTTATTAGCTATACCTCTTTGTATTATGTACTTAGTGGTGGCTTTGGAGTTTACAAGTTAGGTCTAATTTATCACAGCAAATAATATTATACCATTTCATTTAAAATATAAGAACTTTAGCATATTTCAATTTTCCCATTCCATGCTTCACGTTATTGTCGCCATAGATTTTAATTCTAAATATGAAATACTCTACCATACACTGCTATTATTTTTGCTTTAGATTATCTTTCACTTAATTTTTTAATTTTTTATTTTAACTCCAGTGTAGTTAGCATACAGTGTTAGTTACAGTGTACAACATAGTGATTCAAAAATTCTATACATTACTCAGTGGTCATCAAGATAAGCATACTCTTAATCCCTTTTACCTGTTTTACCCATTCCCCCTTCCCCACCTCCCCTCTGGTAATCATCAGTTTGTTCTCTATATTTGAGTCTGTTTTATGGTTTCTCTCTTTTTTTTCTTCGTTCATGTGTTTTGTTTCTTAAGTTCCACATGTGACTGAAATCATATGGTATTTGTCTTTCTCTGACTTACTTCGCTTAGCACTGTACCCTCTAGATCCATCCATGTTGTTGCAAATAGCAAAATTTCATTCTTTTCTATAGCTGAATATCTTCTTTATCTATTCGTCTATTGATGGACACTTGGGCTGCTTCCATAACTTGGCTATTGTAAATAATTCTGTAATAAACACAGGGGTGCATATATCATTTTGAATTAATGTTTTCATATTCTTTCATATTCTCAAATACCAAGTACTGCGATTACTGGATTATAGGGTATCATGTCATCTGCTAATAGTGAAAGTTTTACTTCTTTCTTACCAATTTGGGTGCCTTTTATTTCCTTTTCTTTCTGATTGCTGTGGCAAAATTAAAACCTTCTGTACAGCAAAGGAAACAACAACAAAACTAAAGGGCAACCTACACTGAATGGGAGAAGATATTTGCAAATGGCATATCCAATAAAGAGTTAGTATTCAAAATATATAGAGAACTGATGCAAGTCAACAGCCAAAAAACAAATAATCCAATTAAAAAATGGACAGAAGGCATAAACAGACATTTCTTTTTCTTTTCTTTAAATTTTAATTTAAATTCTAGTTAGTTAACATATAGTGTAATATTGGTTTCAGGAGTTAATTTAGTGATTCATCACTTACATATAACACACAGTGCTCATCATAACAAGTACCCTCCTTAATACCCATCACCCGTTTAGCCCATCCCCCCACCCACCTCCCTCCATCAATCCTGAGTTTGTTTTCTATAGTTAAGAATCTCTTATGGTTTGCTTCCCTCTCTCTTTTTCCCCCCTTCCCCATGTTCATCTGTTTTGTTTCTTAAATTCCACACATGAGTGAAATCATAAGATATTTGTCTTTGTCTGATTTATTTCACTTAGCATAATACACTGTAGCTCCATCCATATCATTGCAAATGGCAAGATTTCATTCTTTTTGATGGCCAAATAATATTCCATTGTATGCATATACCCCATCTTCTTTATCCATTCATCAGTCGATGGACATTTGGGCTCTCTCCATAGTTTGGTTACTGTTGATAATGCTGCTATAAATATCGGGGTGCATGTACCCCCTTGAATATGTATTTTTGTATCCTTTGGGTAAATACCTACTGGCGCAATTGCTGGGTCATAGGGTAGTTCTATTTTTAACTTTTTGAGGAACCTCCATCCTGTTCTCCAGAGTGGCTGCACCAGTTTGTGTCCCTACCAACAGTACAAGAGGGTTCCTCTTTCTCCACATCCTCACCAACATCTGTTGTTTCCCATGTTGTTAGTTTTAGCCATTCTGACAGGTGTGAGGTGGCATCTCATCGTGGTTTTGATTTGTATTTCCCTGATGATGAGTGATGTTGAGCATCTTTTCATGTGTCTGTTAGCCATCTGGATGTCTTCTTTGGAAAAATGTCTATTCATTCCCTCTGCCCATTTTTTAGCTGGATTATTTGTTTTTTGGGTGCTGAGTTTGATAAGTTCTTTGTAGATTTTGGATACTAACCCTTTATCAGATATGTCATTTGCAAATAACTTCTCCCATTCC